GGTATCCTTTAAGAAGAGGAAGAAGAAGAAAAAGGTAAAGATAAAAATTATGAACAACAAAGTGACAACAAATACATATCTATCAACAAGTGAATCTAAAAATGAAGTCAGTTAAAAAAATATGATGAACAGAATAAACTGGTGAATATAAGAGAAGCAGGGACATAGAAAGTGAGTGGGAAGTGGGTATGAGGGGTGCGGGAAGAGATTGGACAAAAATCTTACACCTATGGATGAGGACAGTGCCCTGGGGGTAAGGACATGGGGTGGGGTGGGAACCAGGTGGAGGGAAGCTATGGGGGGAAAAAAGAGGAACATCTGTAATAATTTGAACAATAAAGATTTATTTTTAAAAAAAGGTTTTCAAAAAAGATATAATATTCAGCCTCTGTTTCAATTTGATACTGACAATGACTCTTCTCTTGAACTTGTTTTGACATACAAATACTTTTCTCACCCTACCTTATACAGTTAAAAATATAAACTACTATCGCTGAAACCGGTTTGGCTCAGTGGATAGAGCGTCAGCCTGTGGACTGAAAGGTCCCAGGTTCGATTCCGGTCAAGGGCATGTACCTGGGTTGCGGGCACATCCCCAGTAGGAGATGTGCAGGAGGCAGCTGATCGATGTTTCTCTCTCATCGATGTTTCTAACTCTCTATCTCTCTCCCTTCCTCTCTGTAAAAAATCAATAAAATATATAATTTTATATTACTTAGATATGAGGGATTAATGAACAGTTTAAATTGCAGTTTGTGTGTATAACTCAGATATTTTTATATTTTTAAAAATAAGTAAAATATGCAATGGAATTAAAATTCAGCAGATACTTTAAATATCAATCAAAAGATGTAGATGTAGTATAATTTAGTCGGAAAAATAATGAACTGAAAATAAAAAAGCATCTGACTGGTTCTTTGCTTGTCCTGTAATTTAACCTAGTCACAGAATGACTAGAGGACTAAATTTTCATCTATAAAAATGAGGGATGTAGACTAAATGAGCTCTATATTTCTTTTATCTGTAAAATTATATGAAGGTATATAAATTAATGAGAATAAATGAAATAATAGAGTTTTTTCATTACTACACCGTCTTTATACACATCCTACGATATATTGTGTTGTTAATTATTGAGTGTTAAGTTCTAACAACATGTGACTTTTCTATCATAGAAGAGAATTAGGGTCAGTCTATGACATGAAGAGTGGTAACTGGGCCTGCAGAAAGAATAGGACACCTGCAGAGGGTTGGAACAGGAAGTACAAAGTAAAGCATTTTTTTTTTTTTGCATGTAGTTAAAAATGATTTGCCTATTGGTTTATTTGAAGATTACAAAGTACAAAGCAGTATGATTATTGGGGAGAGAGGAAACAGAGTTGCTTGGAGCGTAGAGTCAGAAAAGGGATGAAATCTTAGTCTTACTGGCCCCATCCATCCACATAGTGTAGAACAAACTTGTTAAACTCAAAGGCTATCACGGACCAAATAAGCAAGGTTTAAGTTTATGTGGGCAACAAAAAAACAAAAGCTTCAATTTTCATAGAAACGTAGGTTTATTTCGGTAGAGACATGCTGAATACAAAGGGCTGAAATAAAAGAATAATCATTAACATAAAATGATAGAATATTTTAATAAAAATTAATACTTTTTCTTGAGTATTAACTTACCAGACACTGAATAACTGCACAAATTAATAAACATAATGCAAATAAACCTATTTTCCTTGTTCTCCGAAGAGAAATATTTCCTGTTGCTCACACCAAACAAGTCAGTCCGAGACTAATGGCGTGGCAATCGATTGCTAAAATATTCGCTGTTAGTATTAGTGGAGAAACGGTGCACCTGAACCTAAGGCGTGTAAGGGAAATGAATGCAACACGATTATAGTAATCACTCATTAGTGAACGTTTTAGTTTGTTATTAATAATTATATATAACAGGATATTGTAAAAATTAGGTTACGCAATTTTTAAAACATTTCTTGCATACCGTTATATGGCTGGGCCGCAAATATTCGATGTGGGCTGCATGAGGCCCGCAGGCCGAGAGTTTGACATGCTTGGTGTAGAATTTGTTTAATAACAGAATATAGAGTGAAGTAATTAAGCACAAAACTAGCTAGATTTGGGAAGGATACTGGTCAGATAATTAGGAGTTTGGCG